AACTCCTCCCATATGGAACTGCTCGGACGAAATATCGACCAATTGGGATTCCTGAAGTAAAAGAGACTTTCGGGAAGGAGACTTTTGGACATAGATGTTCTGTCACTTTACTAATAAAAAAAAGTGAGAAGTAAGGCGATTGCAGTATTAAGAGGGGAAAGTTGTGCCTAAAGTTGTGTTACATCATCGAGAGTACTGAAGTTATCCAATATGCAACAGGCAGCAGTCGAGGTGGGAGAAGGAAGGCTTACCAGATGAAGTCGGTGCAGTGGCTGCAGAAAGTCGGCTGCCTGAAGAACCTGGCTGTGAATTTGTGGTTCTTGACTTCGTGGACGTTTTTTTGCCTCAGAGCACCTTTGCGAGCGAACCTATTCGCTACGTCCTCGCCGGACGACTCGAGTAAACTGACATCAGCCATGTCCCCCCTAAAAGCAAATCAATGCTTCAGCTTTTTAGTCTCGCTGTGCTGAAGTGTTTTTCAGTCCGTTTTCAGAGGCGCAGCTCTCAGTGCAGAGCCAGCAGAGCGCGGAGCAGAGCGGCGGTCTTCACCGGAGACACTGTACTTACTGTCTGAGGGCTTTCCCTGCCTGTCGATACCACTGGGCTGCTCCACTGACAGCTCCGCACGCTGTCAGGTTAACCACAGTGAAGGCGCTACATCCGGTCCCCGCCTTCAAAGTAAAGGTTTCCTCTCTCTGTTTTTTGTTTTCAACAAAACAAAACAACAATAAAAAAAAACTGTTGCGTAATTTCCTACGCACATTCCTGACATCTGCCCACTCCAACTGCAGTCTGTTGGAAAGTGCTAGCTGTCCCCACATATGAATCCACACTTTATTGGAGGATTTTGAAGTAGCCTAGAGTGAATATCTATAGGCCAGGGGTTCCCAAAAATGTTCATGTCAAAGATCCTTATAGTAGATGCACATTTGACACAAGAGCTCCAATATGAGAGGATTTTATCTTAAGGACTCTCACCTGAGTCATCTTCTATTTTTAGAGTTGAAGATTATAAAGTCTTAGCAGTTAATCAATTATCAAACTGGGATCACTATAAATCCAAATCAATAAAAGCAGCCAACCTTATTTTTTTCCTTGTAGATTCAACTTCAAAAAGGCCCCAGTTTAAAAACCACTGCTATGGGCTACATTTTTTAAGCATGCAGAGGACCTCAGTTGTTTCTGTGGCTTAGTTTAGCTAGTGAACTGGACCTGTTAAACAGGCTGGATAAACGAAAAACTTGCCCTGTGGACCTGGAGGACTAGAAGCCTTATTCTGCAGTCAATTTCTCCTGAAAATGAATGTCAGTCAATAATACTGTTAAGACGTTTTATGCATTACTTAATCTAAGGCAGCAACTGTGTTATATACATTGTTGTTATTATTTGAAGTTACATTATTAATATGAAGTGCAACTTTAAACTGAGTGTAGATGTAAACATTTCAACCATGAGGTATTTTACACTTAGTTAAAAGTAAGGCAGTCAATAAATAAACAGCCCTGCAATAAATCCTACCGTCATGAAGGTTATGATAAACTTTTTAAGCCTGTGTGCGTGTGCCCACCCCATTTGTATCAATGGGGCTACATTAAATATTTAAAACACTTTTCAGTATTACATAATACAATACAAATCTAAAAAATAATAATAATACCTTGGGAATTATCACAGGGCTGCTGGACAGCATTAGTTTTAGACAGATGTGCCTAATAAACTGACTACTTATACTTTGACTCATACTTATAATTTGAAAATCCTCAAACTGCTATATAAGACATCCCTTGGTGTCATCAGTGCCTTCAGTGCAGCCTTTAATCTCATTTACAGTCACAAAGGGGTCCACAATGTCCTTGTTGTCAAACAATACATGAAAGTGACAACCGCCAACCTTTTAAAACATCAAAAAGAACCCATGAAACCTTTCTGCATATTCAGTTTTCTACTGTTAAAACACAGTGTTTAATAGTGTATAGTAGACTATCCACGATTTCAGGTCCTTGGAGGATTTGAACTGACAACCTTCAACAAGCAGGAATCTCTTTAATGGCAAACTATTTCTGCTGAAGCTTGTAGTGGATGTTAAATCAGCAGGCTAGTATTGCCAAAATCCTCACCTTTAATAGCTCCAAACCCCTGGAGCTATGATAATCAGTCCAATCCCCAGAGAGCACATTGTTATGTAATTTTTTTAAATGTCATTTAATTTCTTCTTGATTGTCAAAGAGGCTCTTTTGCTCATTGTATTCATAAAATAAACTTCCTGCTCGTGGTGTGTGTATCTTTGTGTAACTTGACAGCAGATCCGCTCCGCTTCCTCCTTTTCACTCCGGCTGATGTCACACTACAGGATCGCCGTGGGAGGAGGAGGCCTCCGGTCCCGCTGCAGGAATTTGGGATGCGGGCGTCATCTTGTGGAATAACGGCGCATTACACATTTTTAGCTCGTCTGTGGGAATTGTTTAAAGCATGAAGGCCTACGTGCTCAGTTCGGCACAAGTACTCCACACATATAGGTCTGACTTCAGCTACTTATTCTGTGTTTCACACTCAGAATACTTATCTAATTATTATTGTTATGGAACTGTAATAAAAAGCAACCATCTTCATAATTAACATTTTTCTTTATAGAGAGAAAACATGGGATATTGGTGAGATCACCATTGGAAATTGATCTTACTGTCTGTGTAATTTCCAGGAAATGCTTACTACTGAGCCTTATGTTATGCCACCAACCGTATCTGACCCCTAATAATTGTCATTTTATATGCTTTGTATCAATCTTTCAAAACCACAATTTATCAAGCACAAGCAGATGAATTTCCTACTTGATCAGTAAGTATTATGTTCCATTAAGCTCCCTGTCTTTGTGCCTGATACTGTGCTTAACTATGATTTTGCTGTTGTTATTATTTGGATTATTTTTTTTTCTCACAGCTATGGATCTCTTAATTAGCTTACTATCTCTAAAACTCTCTAAAAGAATCAATTCTCCTAGGTTCACTGACCAGCAGAGCAGCCTAACCAACCGCTCTCATGTGAAAGACAAATATTTGCAAATTAGAATTGGGTTAGATAAGTCAGATGTGCTGTTCCCTGAAGTCAGATGGTTTTGGGCTAAATCCCATTTAAAACAACCATCGATGAGAAACACCTGTAGTAAAAGGAAAAGAGTGAGAGCTTCTTGTAGCCTATCTGCTTAGTACGGAGCCCCTAAAGGGACATGGGGAAAATTTTTCAAATCTTTTTTTTTTTTTCCATGTCCCTTTAGGGGCTCCGTAGCTTAGCACAATGGTTCTCAACCTTTTTCCTTAAGGGACCCCTTCTCATTGAGTAAACTGATGACCCCTGTCTATGTGACATATTTAGATATTTGAGATATATTCACTGTATAACAATAACAGTAGAGAACAACTGATAAACTGTACAATGAACCCAAATAGTGAACACAATAACTGCAGGAAGTTGGTGTAAAACGATTGATATGGATGAATTTGAGCAGATTATTTCCTGTAAATATTACATCATGGATGAGTTTTACTGATATTTTTTTATCAACTTTTAATACAATTCTCTGCCAGTATTATGTGTTTTTGATTTTTTTTACAAAATGTCTAACTTTTGTAAAAACATTTTGATTTTCTTCACAGAAATATATGAAATGTTGAGATGTACACCTATATATTTCAAACATTTTCTTACACCTCTTAAATTCAAGAAGGCTTTTACAACTCCCCATGAAGCTTTGGTTGACCCTCATAGGGGGTCCTGATCTCCAGGTTTGGAACCACTGGCCTAGCAGACCCACCCATTAATTCAATTCAGTTCAGTTCAATTCAATTCAATTCAATTCAATTCAATTCAATTCAATTCATCAATTCAGTTTTATTTGTATAGCGCCAATTCATAACAGAAGTTATCTCAGGACACTTTTCAAATAGAGCAGGTCTAGACCGTTCTCCTTATAAAATTATTTACAGAAACCCAACAGTTCCCACCATGAGCAAGCACTTGGTGTCAGCGACAAGGAAAAACTTGCTTTTAAGAGGCAGAAACCTCAAAAAACACCCCGGCCCTGTTGGGTGCCAATCTAATTCAAAGATCTGTTTTAAACAGAGGCACCATAAGAACTTCTCCAGACCCGTACCTAAAATTCTTTCTACTGCTAGGAAAAAAAAATCATTACACATTAATAACATTATACAGGGGCCACAGAGAGAGAGAGAGAGAGAGAGAGAGAGAGAGAGAGAGAGAGAGAGAGAGAGAGAGAGAGAGAGAGAGACTCGACAGAAGGACAGAGACAGAGATGACAGAAGGACAGAGCCAGAGAGCAACAACAATAGCAACAACTGCACTAATATTAGTGACTGATGATGATGAACATGAAAAAGATGATGATGACAACAACAACAACGATGGGAGACAATGAGCAGTAATTATAGTAATAATACTAATAATAATATCAGTAATATTAGCAGTGGGAGTCAAGCAGGACCATGGCAGGAGGATATTAATCCTAAGTAATTTCCCCACGGGGATTATTAAAGTATTTCTGATTCTGATTCTGATTCTGATTAAGGACACATAATGCCACTTGTGATCAACAAATCTTTTGACCTAGTTAGGAATGGCATAATTACCTGTTACATTTTCCTAACCTAACCAAAAGGAAACTAGAGCACATAACCCACATGGCATACTGCTTTTTTATTTGGCATCCTTTCTGTAATGTTGTTACTCTTCTTAATTTCAGCAAACAGCCATTGAGCGTTACTAAAAAGGGCATTTCATGGTTTAAGTACTCTACATCAAAACCTGTTTGTGTATGTTTGTAGTGTCTTGAGAGTCTCTCTCTTTCATTATTTATGATTTCATATCATGCTGAGTGTCTGCTGCTGGCTTTCGTACCAAATCAAGGTTATTGATCAATTCTGGGTAAATATGCAGGAGTTAAGACCTTTGTGCTCAATCAATATGAGCTTCAGCTGACATCTGATTGGATCAGGATATCAGGTGCCATTTACCAAACAGCCCTTAAGTTGGCCTCATCCCAGATACAGATGCTGGGGAACACTGAGGAAACTTCACTCCCAAGAAGATGGCTCCGACTTTTGCTTTGCTGGTCCTTAGCCAGCTAGCTTTATACTCATCTGTAACATCCAAGAAAGGTAAAATGGAGCAGGATAATGTGATTATTTTTTTTTGAGCATGAAATTAATCCATTGCGCTTCAAGTAGTCCTGTTTTACTTGCTGTTAATCACTGTTCTTCACTTATTTGCATTTTTGTATATTATGTGCATCTTTTGCATGTGATTGATGGTGTCACATCAAAAGTAAAGTATGCACAACTTTCACAGCACAAACATTCCTGTGCCAAATGTGACAATTTTTCCAGTGAATCCTGGCCATTATATACAGTATTCGTCAATTATATATTTCTGTTCTTTAACCAGTGTGTGGACGGCCTCCTATCACTGACGGGATTGACACATTGACCCTAAAACGTGTGTATGAGGTTGGGGAAGAGGTGACCCTCACATGTGAACAGGGCTACTTGCCTTCAACAGCAACCCCTCGAAGGTTGACCTGCAGTGCCACAGGAGAGTGGACACAGTCAGACCTGGCATGCTCCCGTAAGTTTCCTGGGGTGCTAGCTGTAATGTAACAGCTGTAATTCTTGAATTGTTAAACCTCATCCAAAAGAAGAAAGTGTGAGCAAGGTGGGAGAAATAGTTGGCTTTGAAAAATGTGTTGATGACAAGGTTAGAATGCTGTGTCATAGGCTTGTATTCAGAACAGGTAGACCAGGAATTGTTCAAATGTTAAGTACATTTTGTATTGTATGTATTCTTATGCCATAAACACTGCTCTGGTAGTCAGGTTGTTCAGGTGTGAGAACTAAAAACTGTTATAGCATTAAAATTAGTTGTTTATTGCATTGAATCCACTCTAGTTCTAATTTGAAAATATCATTTCTGAGACCCAGTCACTAATGAATGTTCTCTATTGTCCCTCTCTATGTGATTAGTTAGTATTGTCTAAACTAAAAAACCTGTAGATTCAGTTTTGTACCATCTTTTATAGCTAAGATGTGCCCAATCCCAAGACCTCTGCAGCCATTAGCAATGGGGAGGACCGAAGCTCCATTCAAGAGTGTCCTCAACTACACATGTGATGATGGGTAAAAGTCACTTTATAGTTCTGAATAGATCATTATAAGGTGTGTTTACAATAAAACATGTCAGATTAATTTGAACTTTTTTGTGTCAGGTATGTCATTTTGGGAGCCAATGAGAGCAGGTGTTTACATGATGGTACCTGGAGCAATCCACCACCTCTCTGCAAAGGTACAGGATGAAAATACACGTAGCAGGGATGGTAACAGAATGCAATGTTTAATGGAGAGCAAACACAGCATCCAAAATCTAGTGGACTAGTCTTCTACTTGTTTACGGGTGCTCTTGCATGCTTCATTTCTATGTATTGCTTCTAAAGTTGTTATTTTGACAAGACACTTGCCTTGTTTGTTATCAGCAGTATGCAGTCTCTGTCTGACTTCTACATAGAATGTTAAAATATATATAAAGGAGGCTAACTTGGTTGCTTTTGTTGCCTACAAAGCAGTAAATAACATTTTGACAGCAGCTTTGTATGGATTTTGCACTCTTAATGCTTATAGAGAAGAAAGGCTTCAGAGTAGATATTAGCATAACTCTAGTGTGATCATTTTTCTTCTTACAGCTGTGAATTGTCCGCTGCCCAAGTCACCCATAGACGGAAGAATTGTCCATGATAAGCCAGTTACTGGAACCACCACAATGTATGGGCGAGGCTGGACATATGAGTGTAATCCACCTAAGGCACCGAGTTACGAGAGGGGATCCTGCATGGCTGATGGAAGTGTACCGGAGCCCCCGGTGTGCAGAGGTAACCTTTCATCTACTTCTCTCTTTCAAGATAAGTCATGGGCCAAATGAAGCCAGCCATAATATTTCCCACAACGAAACCAGTCTGCTTTTAGAAAGCCTACCCATTGCAATTATAACAACTAAATAATACCTCTTCACATTGTTTTTTTACTTGTCTTTGATCATCCCAGAGGTTAGCTGCTCCATCCCATCAAGCATACCAAATGGCTTTATCACCTTTGCTGTGATGAGACAACATGGCTACAAGGAGAAGGTTAGGTACGCCTGCAATGAGCACTATACTCTGGATGGCGAGGCTGAGATGCAGTGCCAAAACACAGGAAACTGGTCTTCCAAGCCAGTTTGCAGGGGTGAGTCATGTGAAAATCAGATTTTAAAAACTACCCTAAGGTTAGATTTTTGTATCCATGTTTCATTGTTGCAAAATATTCAGTTAATCAGCAGTCAATTAGTAAAACAAAAGTATCCAGTGCATTACAAGCTGGGAGAGTCCATCCCCTGGCTAGTAAAGAGAAACAATAAACTCTTCTCAACAATGAGCACTGTTTTCATTTCAACTCAATACTACTGACTGCACTTGCAAAACACACTTTAACTGCTCTATTTCTCCGCCCAGCTCCCTGCAAAGTTGGCATCAAAAGAGGCCGCATCTTCTACAATGCCAAGAAGCTCTGGATTGCAGACCTCAAACCCAACAGAGTCCTCCATGGAGAACATGTTGTCTTCTATTGTCTGAACAGAGCTGACAGTTGTGGCTACCCTGTGGCCAGCACCTGTAATGATGGAACCCTTCCCATCCCAGAGTGCTTTGAGGGTGAGTTGCCATCAGCTCGATAAATAAAACTCAAAGATCTGTTTTAAACAGAGGCACCATAAGAACTTCTCCAGACCCGTACCTAAAATTCCTTCTACTGCCAGGGGGAAAAGATCATTACACATTAATAACATCATACAGGGGAATGTATTGTCTAAAAACAAAAGACCCATCTCAATTAGACAAAAAGCTGCTTGATATGGAATTTTTAACTTTGCACAGTCTACACTCTGCCTTTGAACTGTCTACCACATATGTCCAAACTTGACTACATTTCCTGTCACCCATTTTCCTCACCTTTCCAGTGTGTAGTCTCTGTCTATGTAGCAAGTTCTCTCGCTCTGTCACGTCTCCCTCCCACCTGTTCACATGCTCACTGTGCCCTGTGTTACTGTAACCCCTCCCTCCCCCCTCATGCTCAGTGTAGATACACAGACACTGCCACACATCTTGACCAATCACGTGGCTTTAACAGAAAAAACGGGGAAAAAACAGGAAAACAATCCGGATCTGGCTCCCAATCAGGAGCCGGCTGCCGTCGTTCACTTCAAAGAGCCAGCTCTTAGAGCCGGATCGTTCGTGACTGACCCATCACTACTATATACTGAATATACTGAATTTGGGATAGGAGCAAACATTAGACAAGGAAGGAGTCTGGGTATGTTCTTCAAAACTGAGTCAAATGTGTACTTGCTTTCACTAGTGGCAATACAGTGCTTTTCCCTCTAAACTTTTTTTACTAATAAGTCTGTTAGATGGTTTACAGATGTCTTTTGAAAAGCCCATGATGTTTCCATGCAGTCATGCATTTTATGCTTACATTAATATATCTGCCTTTCTTTTTATGGCTTTTAGAACCAGGCAAGATGGAGTACACCTTAAGGGCCAAAACCCTTCCATCAGAAATCACAATGTGTGCCGCTTCGCCCTCTGCCAGCCCTGCAAGAGCCGCATAACTTTGTGCAGAACGACCTGAAACACAATGTATACTGAGAGGATATTAATGATTGGATCATGAATAAATAACATGCTACAAGACTGAGGCCGTTTTTGTTATTGGTTGCCCTTATCTTTTTTAATTTTGCCTGTCATAATAAAGTAATAGCTTTAATTATTAATGAAACAATGAAAATGTGTAAAATGGTGCTGTGGTATTTGAAAGACTCACGAAGAAGAACCCATGTAGTTTCCAGTCTGCAGATACATACATACTGAACATATACATATCCAGTACAGAGGGTACAATAAAAAATGAACTATCTGTATGACATCATTTCCCAGGAGATTTGATACCAATTCCCACCTTTTTTTTGTGTGAATCTGATCTCTTTCATAACTTACCATACCACTTTTATGCGATATCATGGTGTGAACAGAGGTGCTGGAACTCCACACCAGACAGTGTAACTGAGGAAGTGATGAGTGGTGAAATGCCCTAAAGACAATGGCATAAAGTTACACAAAGGGCGAGATCATAAAAAGATCATACTTACTATAGTTCTAACTTGTAGCCTTTAACCAGTCAGTTTGTGTGCATGCATGTTTACAGCTGCTTTGCAGATCTCAGCTCATATCACTTTAGTGCTACTCATGCTGGAAAAGCTTCATATATTTTAAAAATCTAATGGAAGTTGACCCTTCCTAAGTCGCGCCCCTTTTTGCTCTGTGCTCATATAACAACTCTCTCCTTCCCTGTAGCATATGCTATGTGCTATAGGTTAATCTATATTGAAAAAAACAACCACGTTTTGAAGATGGTTAAAAGATAAAAGCAACATATTGTTAGATAGCTAGTTTGCTAGTATTTTTCTACAAAGGAAAACGCTAACTAGGTCGCTAAGTCACATTAATTGTTAGCTACGTAGTTACATATCAAAGTTAATATTAGCTTTCTCACACCTTATTACGATAATATATTTTATCAGCAACTCATTGTTCCATGGTATTCTTTTGTTTTGATGTATTTCTATCTCTTTCCATCTCATTATGCTAAGCTCTTTAAAATGATTCAAGCAAGAGTAAAACGGGGCCAATGGGGCATTTCTTTTTAAAAAATAAAATGAGATAAATTACATATCTGTTGTTTCTTAATATTGCAGCAACATGGAAAGTTCACAGCTGGAGAGTTTCATTTCCAGTAAAATGTCACAAGGCAAAGCACCCCACCCTGCCAAAGCAGAACAAAAACACAAGAATCAGCAGTGAACAGTTCATGCTGCTCTTATCTGTTTACTTTTACACAAACAGCACTGAAAGAGGGGACAGGGATTCATTACTGGAACCAGAGACTAGAGCAAAGAGCCAAGGGACGTCTGAACATTTGTACAAAGGATGGAACACTTTCTGACTTTGTTTTTCCTATGTCCGTTTGTATTTTTTATCACTTCGACATGTGGACAAGACAGTGGTAATGGATTTTATTACTTTTTTGATTTTATTTGACATGATATGGCTTTAGCATCAGATAATCTCTACATATAGGACACATATTCTAAAGGCATTTGTTTCGTTTTGGAGGGTTTTTTCTGCCCCGTCTATTTAAAATACTAAAACAGAAATAGATTTTAATTTAAATTTTTTAGGCCTTTCAAGTTTTGTTACTGATTTCTTGTCAAATGTTGCTGGCATTGTCAGTAATACTGTTCAAAAAGTTGATAGAATACAATTTTCACCGTTTCAGGAAAAGTGGACCAAATAGCCCTGAGAGAGTTAAACTCCTTCAGAATAATCAACTTCCAGCAAATATTGTTCTAAATTAGCTGCACTGGAAACCTTTTTGTAGTAGTTTTTAAGACACACACACACACACACACACACACACACACACACACACACACACACACACACACACTTATTATGATGTATTTGTCCTTGTAGTGTGTTCTAGGCCTGTGATGGGTGAGAACGTTGAGATGGAGGGGCTTCAGAGGTACTTCAGCCCCGGTGTGGAGATAGCGCTGTCCTGTAAACAGGGATACACCACCTTGCTGGGCCCCCGGAAGATTGTTTGCACTACCAGTGGAGAATGGACAAAAACCAAATTCAAGTGCATACGTGGGTCTCCATTATTCTTATGCGAACTTGTGACAGAGATTTAACAGTAATGTAATTTTCTAAGAAACACATACTTGTAATATTAACATAGTTGTAATTTTAACTTCCACAATCAATTATTACTGTTTCCAATTTTAGTATAAAGAAGGACTTATTTTTGATGTAGCATGGAAAGAAATACAAGGCTTTAGTAAGGATTTTGGGAAGATTATTTATCAAGCTTGTGGAGCCCTGTGAACCATTTCTACCAGATTCTGTATACTATTCTTTTATATTATTTGTATTAGAAATATGTAGATAAGCACATATTGTTGTTTTTACAAATATTCTGTAGATCTCTATCTCTTTTATGCTGTGGTATATGAATATGTATATTCAAGACTAAAGAATTAGTTATTTGGTCCCTGTTCATTGGCAAAATAAATAGCAAAACCACTAGATCACACCCTGACTTTATTCTGGTTGTATACGACTACAGCAGTTACAGCAAAAATGTCGTTCTATGTTTGAATGATTCATAAAAAATAGCAAAACCTTCCATTTACACATCTTCTCTGTGCTGTATTCTCTTTTACAGCAAAGCAGTGTCCCTATCCTGATTCATTGTTAAATGGAGAAGTGTACTATGAGGATACAGTGTACCAGAGTACCATCAACTATACTTGTAATGAAGGGTAAAGCAAGAACATGTTGTTGTTGTTCCATGCAATTCTATTATCTCGTATATTTATCATCATGGATCATGTGTAAAATTAGATTATTAAATTAGGCCAATAAACCAAAATCTGTTGGCTTCTGACCCCTATTTTAACATTCCTCTGATCCACTAGTATTTGGCTTCAAATGCATTTAACCTGATTTCAGTCAACTGTCATGTGTTGTATGTTGTACTTGTAATAAAGCATGGACTAACTGAATGACCTGGCTTCTCTGCACAGGTTCACCTTGATTGGAGCCGCCACTGCTGAGTGCCTTGACAGCGGGACATGGAGCACACCAGCACCAGAGTGCAAGCGTATGTTATCAACAAGATTCCTCTGCAAGACCAGGAAAATAAAAACGAAAGCATAGACTAGAAAGCATATATTGTGCTCCTATAAAATCCTCTGTGGTCTTAGAAGAAAGGAACACAATTGCTTAATATTAAACTTGATATTAGGCCAGCAAAAACACATCTGTACTTGTTATCGAGAAATAGACCACAGCTAAGGTACAATGTACATCCTAACAGGCAAGGTAAACGCATACATCACAAGCGTGCAGTATGCCAATACCCATACGTTTGCATATACTTTCTCTTCTCTCATAGCTGTATCCTGTGGTCTCGCTCCAGTCCCAAAGCTTGGGATGGTCGTTTATGACAGGAAGATCAGAGGGAATAGCACTGACTACGGTACCCAAGTGACGTTCAGGTGCTTGCCTCCGTATGCAGTCTTCGGCAACGCAAGAGCAGAATGCACTGCCAGTGGCAAATGGACCGCAGCACCTGAATGTCGAGGTATATAGGCTGGAGAAGAATAAGTATTTACTGATCTGATTTTACCAGGTCCACTTATGCAATTTGTCCAGATTTACTGGAATTCTAAATGTTCACATTTAAGGGACTACTACGTAGTGGCATCTAGCGGTGAAGTTACACATTGCAGGCTGTGATGTGTGTAGGAGAAACTATTGTGGCCATGAAAACCATAAAAGGCCCTACATAGAGCCAGTGTTTGGTTTGCCCGTTCTGGGCTACTGTAGAAATATGGCAGTTCACCATGGCGGACTCAAGGGAAGCTGACCCGTGGACTCTGTACATAAGTAGGTCTCATTCTAAGGTAATCAAAACACTATGTTTCTTATTTAACAACATTCTTTATTTTATTAACAAAATAGATGCAATTTGGTCTTCAGGGGAAACATTTAAACTTGCAAAACCATGGGATAGTTGCCAAAAAACTGATCAAAATATGGAACCACGTAGTGACAGAGAACAAGAAGTTTCTCTAATGAACGGACTAAATTGTTCCCCTTACAGTGGTGACCTGCCCTCCACCGGAGAACATCAGCCATGGGTACATGTCAAGCAATGACAAGAGAGCCTATGACTACATGGAAAATATCAAATATGGCTGCAATGGAGACTATGTAATTGAAGGGAGCATGCAGATTGTTTGTCAGCAGAATGGGCGTTGGTCTCAAAAGCCATCCTGCAATGGTAGGGCTCATTTCACACTACAATATCGGTGCTGATCAATTATTGCTTTTACTCACAATTTTATTTCAATCTGAACTAATTTTTTGCCTGTGTTTACTACTACAGAAGTGTAAATACAATAGGAAACGCTTTTCAATGTTAAAATGCCTCTGCATTTGACTTGTGGTGAAAACCTTAACTGTAAACTCCTAAAAATACAAGAGCAATAGGTTTCACATTTGAATATCAGCCCACCATTGTCTTTCAGTACTACTCCTTAAATGACAACATCACTTTGATAGGTCAATATAATGCAGCTGGCCACTCAAAAACAGTACAACATATACATACATATCCATTATGTTTTCTCTTCTCCTTGTGACCTACAGCTCCTTGCAGTGTTGGCATACAGAGAGGGAGGATATTATACAAAGGACAAAAGATCTGGATTGCAGACTTAAGTCCTAACAAAGTCTTGCACAAAGAACTTGTCTCAGTCTACTGCATGGACAAGGGCAGGAAGTGTGGTTATGCAGTGCCAACCCAGTGCATTAACGGAAAACTCAAAATCCCAGAATGCTTTGAAGGTAAGGAATACTTATCTAAATAAATCAAATGATGACTGTCACACATGGCTGTTACCAGTAAGCAGAGCTGTGACTGTGACTTAATATTGGCATGCAGATGTGTTCAGGCCGGGTCCCGTATCAATCATGAAGCTTGAGGCTGATTTGACCCACTGACAGTATATATATATTTATATTGATTTGACCATGTACACACAAGTTACAACTTCCTGTTTCATAGCAATACATTGAAATCCGACACCACAGGCATGCCATTCAACAAAAGCTGACAAATTTTAAAATATAGCATCATCAACTTCGCAAAGCAACATTATCTAAGATTTAGTATTATAAAAACATTCTAACCTGTTCTGTGTATCTGTGTTTCTGTTTCTTTTCTAGAGCCCAGCAGCACTGAATATACCCTTCATTCAGGTTCACTACCATCTGAAATCGCACAGTGCTGAATCAGATCTCTTCTTTCATATGAGAATAACTGCAATAAGGAAAAGGTTGTTGGTGTAGTCTGCTCTCTAAAATGAAAGAATATTGTGTTGTATGACTTTTTATTTGACTTTGTCCTGCTCAAGAAAGTGTGTTATTCTGCTACTTCCTTTTCTGTTCTGATCACAAGTCAACTTTGTAAAAATAAAAGAAGCCAAATACAATATATGATGGGCAGCTGTTGAGTTCAATGAATGTAATGTGTGGTAATGTATTCATTGTTGCCCCAAGCAGACATGTCCAGGGTCAAAGTAATGAAGCACTGTTGTCCCCACAGAAGAGGGATGCCTTTTCCAAGCTTACAATTGCTATGTCTTGTTTTACACTATGCAGACTAATGTCAGATGGCCCACATCATGTATACTTTATCTATGGTTTAGGTCCACATGGGACAAAAATAGGGCCATTGTGGATTTACTCAATAACAGTATAATCAGTTTAAACATGCTGTTCAAATACATCAGTCAGACAAAACGATTACCAATACTGATGACAGGGCTCACTTTGTAGGTTTGTTGATATTGATATTCTGTCCAATTTCCAACCAACAGTACGTTCAGCTGTGGTAAACAACGTTGCATGTTGTAAAGCAAAGCCAGAGGACAGATCACTAACTAAATAAATGCATGTAATACAACAATAAATTATTATTTATTCATTTATTGGCATACATTGTTAAATAGGGGTACAATATGACTGGGAATGTCATCTTAAAGAGTTAAAACGGCATTTTCATTTCATCTGGACGTCATTTGGAAGCATAATGTAAAATTATGGTATTCCGAAAATGATATCATATGGTTTAGTATAATTACATTTAATAAATTAATAAAACCAAACATAGGTCTAAACATTTGCTAAATTTGTCTGAATTACAAAAAGTGGTATTAAGATCCCTTTGGGAGCCGAAAGAGCTCCTCGTTGCTGAGAGATGATCTGGCTCACTAAAACCAGAATTCCCATCACTACTGCACTCCTCTGACAATAGTTTCAATCAAAATAACACCCTGACTATAAGAAAATGCCTCATAGCTAACAATCATACTGTGCAACAATAATCTTAGTTATCTAATTCGCCACACTTTCCCAAACTTTAGATGGCCAGGCAGACAGACCGATAGATACATACATACATAGATCGATTGACATTCTCACTCAATTTTGACCTCCAAAACCATTAACGACTGCTACTGGTCTGTGGCTTTACTACAAGTCCTGCATCACATGTCGCACATTATAATATTATATATACACTTTCACGAACTATTCATGACCTGACTTCGCCATCCTAGGAAAAACCCTTTTCAGCGGGCGCAGCAGAAAGCAGCGAGGAAGCAGCAAGAAGTCTCGTGGTTCCGGTGGCTGCTGACAAACACTCGTCCTTTCTCGCGAGAACCGACGTTTCCACTTTCTTCTCGTCCAGCATGGCCGCGCTGTATGAGGGATACACGTTGTGCGGACTCGTTCCAGCTCAAACTCTGCCCAATTCAGGCATTCAGGGGGTCGAAACAGAGAGAGACAGCGACCATGTCATCGTCACCGACTCAACGAGATCTGTTACGTTATACAAGGTAACGTTAAGCGTTTGTTTTGAGGAGGCTCTCCTTACCGGGGCCAGCTGATCTGTGCGACCTGTGCAACTCGTGTTGGCATCCTCGGCTGTTCTTAGCAACAGTGACAGAAACCATCAGACGAGACAGGGGGGGCAAATAAACACCTGAGCTGGCTGTGATAGACCCTTGACTCGTTTTCAGTAAAAAAAAAAATAAGTAAAGCAAGTTAGGGTAGCATAGGTTTGTGTAAACACCATGCCAATCTACAACAACAGGCAGATGTTAGCTAAGTGTCGCTACATCCACCACAAGACACAGACATCCTGCTGACTGATGCTGGCTCTGAATGTCTGCACTCAGCGTGTGTATTCAGCTATATCGATTATAATGCTACATTAATAATTCACTATTCAGCTCCTTTTCAGTAAATGGCAGTTTTCAGAGTTAGCCTCAGTTGCTTGTTTCGTGAACATCTATCTACCTATAATGGAAGTTACACAACACATTTCTACACTCGCAGTAGAAAAAGGGTAAAGAGGGACTTTTTTTTTGTTGTGACTAACTTAGTAGAAGCATCTTGATGTTATTATTATTAACTGGTCCTCTTTTGTGTTGTTATGGTTCTGACAGGTTTCAGACCAGAAGCCGCTGAGCAGCTGGACGGTGAAACAGGGACAGACCCTGACCTGTTCAGCAGTCTACAGCTCACAGAGCAAGGAGTTTGTGGCAGTCTCGGACAGCAAGGTAGGCTTTTCAGCCATCGGTGTCGTGGCCAGGTGGATTAAAGTCACACGAGTCTTTATGAGAAGAATTCTGGTGCTTGTTTTGGTTGCAGCACCGTCTCTACGGAGTCCCACTGACTCACTGTCTGAATGAAATTTGGCAAAAAGGAACCAAAGTATACAAAATATGTTTTCTTTTCCATTCAGTGAAATAATTAATTAATTTACTACTTTGCAATTAATTTAGCCTCTAGATGACCTTTCAGAAATATCTGCCTGACACAAAATGTCTGTTTGTGTTTTGTTTTTAAGGTGATCAGAATTTGGAAGGAAGAAGACATACTCTTAGATAAGGCCTTCAAAGCAACTGTAAGTGTGAACATGGCTTTTCAGCTCTCTCCTCTTTCTCTCACATTTAAGGCTAGAATATGCTTGAACTAGCCGGTACGATGTGTAGTCTGATCACGTCTGAAGGCAAAAGTGTACCTGTTCCAATCGGCCACACTCGAAGGCAAGATGCAAACCCTGTTGTTGAATCACACAATTGGGGATAATAGCATCCACTTATGGACAATCTCCCCACAAAAGACATTCATGTTGATTCTACCAGGCATGCTGGAAGTGGTTTATTCACACTGTGAAGCACTCTGTATCGAATCCATTTGAACATTTGTGGAAGTTGATGTGATATTTTACTTCTGTTCCATTCAATTAAGCTTACTCTTCATTTTATTATAAGGTATTCATGGAGCCTCAAGAAAAAGCAAATTTATTTTAACAGCAGTTTCCTAATGTGTCTCGATTGCTATGATCTCTATAGTTACAGTACATCCACCTTTACCAGTTAAGTTGTCCAGCATTGTAATTGGTCCCAAAATGAAATCAGCGGTGTTCTTGACAGTACGTATTTCCTTTGGAAAGTCTCTTAATCTGAGAATTCTTCATAGTGTACAGAGTAAATAGCCTAAAATGTCATTATAAGAGTCATATATATAATATTCTCATTTGTGCCTTCTTTCCAGGTGTCAGCAGATGTCTGGAGGGTCCACTGTGTACCAGAAGGGGAGCCTGTGGTCTTATTCCAGAGAGGAGCTGTGAGACTCCTGGACTCTCTACTTTCTGCTCCCCAACAGCCCATAGAGGAAGTCCTGGCTCAAGAAGAGGCCATTAGGTCAGTATCACTGTGTCTTACAGCCTCAGTAAATGTTATGCGTTATAATACAGTCAGAGCGAAATTTAGAATCTGCCCCAAGAGATGTTACATTTTAACAGTTGATATTGTTATAAGGCTACATCTCCCAACATTGTTGTTCAGGCAACAAATAAAACTACAGATTTCAGTGTTTCCTCTATGTTGATTTTGGAGCGGCGGCCCATCGCTGTTAAATTTCTGCCGCCACGGTATCAGAAATGGGGCAGACGCACAATGTAGTCACGGTTGCCTTTTAAATGATCCTGCTGACATAATGCACCCCCGTTGGCTGCCGCTCACATTGCAATTTAACAACAAGTAGAACTATTCAGAGGTTATTGGGGCTGTCCAGTTTAACTCCACATACCGTTGTGTTGATGTAGCTTATTATCAAAATGTTCACTTTCTTCCAAGTCGACTAATAAACTAACAGCTCCACCAAAACGGGCCTGCCGCCGCTGCTAAAAAAAATCCAAGAGGAAACACTGTATTTGCAACGAAATCTAAAAATATTTAAATGACCTGATTGCCAGTGCTGTGCTTTAGTCTGACCTGTAGTCTCTTGTAGTGTGTTGATGATTCTTCTTTTTGTCGTTTAGGTGGAGCACCAACATACTGGCAGAGTCGAAGCAGTTTGTCATCTTCACAACTGAACAGGTAACATCATTTGAATTGTGTGGCTTTTAACAATTAAAGTATTAATTGCAGTTACTGTATATTACAATACTAAGTTGTAATGACACTTCATTTGAGGGCATGCTTATGTACCTGTATATGAATAATGAGTATTTTATGACCTATTTAACAACTAATTGTGTCCGCTCTCATTTTCTTCATGGACATATGCATTAAGTGTTATTGGTATTTTGTAAAGGACTGTTTGCCTTGAACAGTTGTCAATGTCTTCCAACAGAAAGGAGATCATTTCCTCTACCTGCAGAGACTGAATCCAAACACCCTACAGAGGTACCGACTGGAGAGAGAGGAGCCTGGTCTTTCCCCGCTCAGCTTCTCTGCCTCCTACAGGGATAACCACATCCGCCTGCTTTACCTCTGTAAGCCGCCATTTCCTGTGCGAATATTTTAAGTATCACTGTTTGACAGCAGAGGCTAGTTTTGCTTTGTGTAGTTTTGTGTAGAGAGTTAGATGTGTAAGAGGAACGTCCCCTACAATAAAAGCCCTGTCCCATAGATCACATAGGTGATTTCAGGAGGGTATAATCTCTCTTGATTGCATGATGTACTCATAAACAGGTTGAGATTCATTTTATATTGTACTTCATGTTGCACAAACACAGGGTGTTACATGCAAGATATGAAAAATAGGTGTCAGTCATTCTCTCTCAGTTTGTCCCTCATTAATCCTTTTTACCTTTTTGTGCTTTACCCTTTTCTGGCCGTCCAGACCCTAACGGTCATGTGTACCAGAGTGTAGTCTCTATGCGGGGCCTGGGAGCTGATGAAGGGGCCCAGGCTCTTCCGCTGCCTCGTAACCTGCTGCTGGGTCTTCCAGTCGGTGAGGGCCTGCTGGAGGCAGCATCAGCCCTGGTCCTGGATGAAGCCCATGTAGCTGTTGTGGGGGTTCCACACCCCTCTGCCGGAGCGGGTAAAGGTAAATGCAGTTTAACTACACTGAACTACACTGAAATGAAGAACACAGATGCTCTACTACTCTGTTTTAGATTTAAAGATAGAATTGGGCACACATTAAATGTCAGTGGTCAGACTTTTACTAATATGTTTTTTGCATTGGTAAAATGCAGCAGTGAGAATTGGACAAACAGGGATCACTTGATACAAGGTTACAGTTGGCACTGGGCAATACACCGGATGAACTGGAATACTGACTTCAATTTCCTGTATGATATGCATTTTTAATATACCGCCATACCGGTGCATAACTGCAAAAACTGCTGTAATGTTACAACAGGCAACAATATTGTTTTTGCAGCGAACATTAGTTACAGTATAGAGCTTTGCCATTTTTTGAGTCTGATGACTGACTGACCTGAATTTGGTTTCTAGTCTTGGGAAATAACACATTTTATTTGTTGAAACTAAAATTGATTTGTTGAAATTATCAGGACTTGGATGATTACAGAACACATTTGCATAATCGAATGCTAGAAATGATAATTAATGACATGTGGGCCTTGTTTTGGACTAAGTGCATTTAAATGATGACTTGAAGCTACGTGACTCCAGTATCTGATGTGAGCGTGTGTTTCTTTAATGGCTCTTTGCAGACTTCCTTTGCATCTGGAATACCAATTTCCAGACGCTTCAGGCAGGAAAAGAGATGGCGGGTAAAATCTATGGACAGGTAAGAATGCTTTGGTGTACTAAATGCAAATAACCTGCCAAGCTAAATGTTTTCTAATGTTTCTGTTCTACGATCAGTGGATGAATGAATAGCAATGATTTTTAGCCATGCGAGCAGCGGGGCCCTAGAGCTCATACAGAACAATCCCCAATGTGTACTGCTGAGGTTAGAAGTATGCATGAACCATCCACTCAGGCCAAGGTTCCCTGTCCTTCCAGCTGCTGGGTGCTGATGGAGGACTGTATGACTTTGGTAGAGCATTGTGTCTGCTCTCCACTGTGACAGGGCTCATTGTCCCTCCTCACAACTTTATGGCAGTTTACAATCTCAAAACAGTGCCATAAATAGCCAAGTTGTGTTGTTGATGTCATAACTGTCGAACTATATTAATTTTCTTTTTTCTCTGATTTAGCTATGGGGTTATTCCAACAAGTTATTCATTCCACATGGGAAAACCCTGTCTGTTATTCCATACGAGTGCCCCAAATCTTCCCTGGCCGCTGCCCTGGGAAAACTAAAGCAGGCCAAAACTGAAGGTGAGCTAACACAAATTTGGAGTACTGCTACTGTAGTAATCTAATGTTGTGCAGCTGCGTAAAGCAAATGGCATACATTAGACGTTTTAATACCCGAGTACACTAATTCTGTATAAATAAATAATACTGCAATAACATACTGAATAGTGCATATTCAGCATGTATTAATGATGCTACAACACTGATAGTCTATATTCTACATTGAATAATTGCATGTTCACTCACTACTGTGTGTTTTCCTTACTGCTACAGAGGCCAAAGCTCCAGCTTCTGTACCATCTTGGAATAATATTCTGCATGGAGAGAAAGCTCAGCCCTCTAGGACAGTGGAAACCCGGAAGACGGTATGTTGGATAACTGAGTGGAGTTTTCAGGGCAAAATAAGGGACCTTGTATAGATTTGTAAGAGAAGGTGGTGCATCAATCCCAAACTCGCCTTTAAAAAGTGGCCAACAGTGTTTCCCGGACCATCAATATATAAATATGTCAAATTGTGATTTAGCAAGGGGAACATTTGTTAGGGTACAGGGCTGCTGTAGTGTTTTTATTTCTTGATTTATCTATAAAGGTAGCCTAAATTAGTATGTACAGAATTCTGTCTCATCAAACAGGTCATATCAACTTATCAGAATCAGAATTTGGTTTATTGGGTTAGGGTTAGATTACTGAATAAACATGCACCCACACTAAAACCCAATGCCATTTTTGATACAAATCAGCAATTCACTGCTTCTGTGTTTAAAGAAGAGAGAGAGAGAGAGAGAGAGAGAGAGACAGAGACCTGCAGAGTAGTGGTTCAGTAACACTCCTGTTATAAGTTTCGTTTATGATTTTATTCTTCTCTCTTTTCCATACAGAGAACAACCCGTAAGACCCAAGCAGCAACTAGTTTAACAATTGACCAAGTTCTGGAGGTCACTAAGGTAAAAATTCTCTGGCAAAAATACAGAAACAGAGTTGACAAAAAAGTAATTTTATAATAAGAAAACATTTTCAATTCCTCATACAGATGGCCCCAGTAGAAGAGGTCCAGAAAGAGGTGGAGGGGCTCCTCTCCAGGGCAGACATCCAGGACCTGCAGGCCTCATTGGGGCAGCTAGCATCGACCCTTGTGTCCCGGAGCCTGGCCGATCCAGCATTCTACACCCCGAGCACCCTGGCACAGCTAGTGCACACTCAGTCCCTCTGCCACAGGTGAGTAAGGCATAACAGTGGAATCAGGATGCTGTTATAGTTAGTAGTAATAGTAAGATTGCTTTGAGAGTCAACATTTTTAGTGAGTTTGTTTGCATCGTGATCGATAAACCATTTCAACCTCAACAGTGTGTGTCCTGACCTTGTGCTCCTGGCCCTGGAGAAGAAGGATTACTTTCTCTGTCAGCTCTGCTTGCAGTTCTTCCCTGACATCCCAGAAGCTGTAACCTGTGCCTGCCTTAAGGCCTTCATCAGGTAAAACTGAGGGTTTTTATGTGCACAACCTTTATACAGGCATAAATATATGCCACATTTGATACTACCACTAGGTGGCACCAAAGTAATGTGTTTTTTTTTCTAATTCTCCATATAGTGGCTTTAAACCTTTTAACCAAAGTGATTTAGCGGTTTAATTATCAGCCTGACTTTGTGTAATATAAAACCTTTATCTTGCAGTATGCCAGACGCAGATGCAGAGAAAATGAGCCTGGAGCCTGAGAGTGTCTCCTTCATGGAAACCCTAATTGTGAGGGAGCATGGGCAGGTTGGCTTGCAGAATGGTTTCAGCCCCACCTCCTTTGACGGGGATCGGTCAGATGCCCTCAGTGGAGGTGGTGCCGTCCTCAAGACCCGAGAAGAAGACAAGGAGAAGACCTCGACACCACCAGAACAGATCTGTCCAGTGGGACTATACAAGGCTGTTTTACTGTATCCTCCCATTGCGCAGCGCAGTCACTCAGACCTAACATTTATCGCAAACTGTTTGTTGTGTAATGATTTGAATTTTAAAATATGAGACCTTAACTCGAGCTGCATAGAAATGAGGTCCTGAGGACGCCGTACAGCGACACTTTCCTCCTCCCACACCTAAAAGATTTGTCCTCCCAACAAGTTGTTGTGAGTAATGGCTAGTTTTCCCCATCTCTAAAATAAAACTCAGCATTCATTCATGTTTTAAAACAGCTGACACCGTACCCATTGACCAAATCTGTTTTTACAATGTTCATTTTCTTTTTCATCCAATCAGCTTTTCCTCCAGTACCTGCAGTTCCTTTACCTAAAATACTCCCAAGATGCTTCCACACAGATGCATGGATTGAGATCACCAAGTCTGACTCAGGTCTGTATCATTATCTTAACTAGACAGTTGGCCACACTTGACATACGAGTGCAGTTAATGTCTGTCACACCAGAATACATCATGTGACAAGTCTGGAGGCAGAAGAAAGTCTTTTGCTGACAGGATGTCAAATACAGATATGGGGGCCTTGAACCGTCTGCGGTGTGATTTAAGTGTAACCACAGTGCATATAGTTGGCATAAAAAGATGGAGACAGTGTTGTTATAAACTTCTAATAAATAACAAACATGTATAAAACACTGGCATTATGATATACAGAATGCTCCAGAAACTCCTTGAAATAATAATATACTTTATGTAAGAGTTTAATTGCTAATTCTGTTTTCCTTTTTTTGATTGTAGATCATGGATTGGGTATGCTTGCTGCTGGATGCCCATTTCACAGTGCTAGTGATGACTCCAGAGGCCAAAGGCTTACTGCTAAACCTCCACTGCTTTGTTAAGTCTCAGGTAACAAACCGTCTTACCTTCTGGTTGCTCTTTAACTGGCTGAATGTTAAATATTCTGTAAAAATAACACAATAACATTCAAAATTTACTGCCGTCCTCTGAAAAGTAATCTGGGAAAAAACTTAAACATGCCGTCTTGTGTCCTCAGGTGAGACTTGTTTCTGAGCTCGGGAAGATTGAGGGCAGCCTCCAAGAACTCAATAAGATGAAGGTGAAGAAGGACGTCGGACAATACTCCATTGAAGTCATTGAGCTGTTTTAGAACGTGTACAATGTGTATACTTTTAATAAATCATTGAGCATATTGTCTCCTTCCAACGTTTCACCTTTAGTAGTTTCCAGGGTTGTATTCTTGTTCCAAATGGTGTTATTAAGTGCTTTTAGGCACAGATTCTAGCCATCTGAACTCGAGATGCAGGAGTTTTACTGTATAAGAAAATAATTCTTGTAATTTAGGCATTGAATAAGTTGCAGATGCCTTTGAACCATGTTTTAAACTTGTTACAGCTGATGAAATGTTGACCAGATAATATGGTGTACATGATGAATTAAGTCTGTTCATATTGCAATGAATTAATAATGGGTTTGCATGCAAAAACGGCTGATACCACGGTATGGCAAAGGTTTGTAACATTTATAATGGGACTTTGAACACTTGTGAGAGTGACTGGCTGTTTTTTTTTTTTTTCTGTGTCCTAACACAACTGAGTATTTGTGAATCTGTCAGCTGTGACTTTGTACTGGGTTTTCTACAGGAAAGCCTTTTATTTTGAATACAAATATATAACAACGAGAACATTTTTAATCCATACTGGGTTTTTTGTCATTATTTCTGTGCTCTTAAACTCTTAAGCTTACAGTACTTTGTATTAAAATAATAGTTGATTGTTATTAGGTCATGGTACTAAACACGTTTGAGGCATGTAGAGCACCTTTCAGAACAGCAGCTGTGCTTCCACCCCTCACCTGTGGCCGGATTCAGTAACTGAAAATAATTACCCATGCCGTTGACCTACTATTGGAGATTTTGACTTTAATGGGGGGTTATGTGGGGAAATAGCTTCACACCTGAAAGTATGAAAACAATAAGAGGCTCTGGCCCACTGCCTTGTAAGAAAAAACATCTAGTAAGTTTGAGCAGCATTGAGCCATAAAATGTGGTGGCGTATGGCTGTGGCATACATCTATGGTCTTACAGCAGCAGCTAGTTAGTGGGTGTTTTGATTACAGATGTTTCCCTCCATAATTCAGTGGTATCTTCAAGGTACCAACACAACAAAAAACGAAAACTCGTTGTCGGCAGGATTCGAACCTGCGCGGGGAGACCCCAATGGATTTCTAGTCCATCGCCTTAACCACTCGGCCACGACAACCGATAGCAATATGCGTTCAACAGTAACAATAGAAACTTACTTAACAGCGAGTCTTTTCTCAATTGTGATTTATGTAATTATCCTGCGATAATGTCAGTACGACTGGGGGCTCCCGAGCTATGTTTCTGTTGGCTAGCTATGCCGTAACAGAAGCGTGTGCTACGTTTAGTAGCTCATGAAGTAGCTAGCCAAATTAACTACCAAACAAAAGCTAATACGAATGAGGGAAAAAATATATATATACTGTTAACTTACTTAACGTTCAGTCATGTAGTCAAACCCAGAGAGTGGCATAAATTAAAGACAAGAGCAGAGGGTGTCGCGGACCACCTGATCTGGGTTGCAATGTACTCTGTGTTTAAATACTATTGCGTGCTGCATTGTTACAATAGATTATAGCGCTGCGTTGTTTCTGCAGGAGCTCCTGTTGTATATTTATATATACACTCAACTGGATGAAAACTGTGCCAGGTCCCTAGGACGAATAAAAAGTCATTTTAAAGTTATTTAAAATGTATGTGTTAAAAGAAAGATATTACTGCTGTTAACGCATGAATGCAATTTAAATATAAATATTTGTACTGTTAACTTTTATGATGACTTATTGAGGTTCATGTATTAGAGCTCAATGTCGGACGCATGTCTATCTTGCTATGCTTTGCTGTGACGACGATAGAGACAGGGCCGAAAATGATGGTATTTCACGAAATACACTCGACCCACCTGTGATTAAAACCATCCACTAGACACAGCCAACTCCAATACAGCACTATTGGCGGAAAGCGTTTGCATGGATAACTAATTTTATGAACTAGCACGGCAATTGCGTCTATTGTAGAATAGTGAGTCACGTGACCTCGCATCCACTCAGGCCTGCTGTTGTCAAGTTAGAGGATAAAAACTACACTTCCGCATCTGCTACGGCCAACTCGTGAAAACGAAAACATTTAAAGTTCATTTTTTGATCATATAAACGGTCGCAGTGGAAATAAACGATTTGATTTATTCGGTTTTGATGCTTATTTTATGTTCTGTTCGCCCCAGTATTTGGTAATAATGTCTACTGTCATTTCTGGCGTTGCTTTTACTTTGAAGAACAGGCGCTGTACTTCCGGTACAACTACAGGTATGTGTGGTTAGCTTGACGCAGGTCTGGGGCCTCCTGTGTTTTCAACGGAGGGAGAGCTGAGAAGAAAAATGGCGTCTGCAGGCGACCCAGAGCGGGACACCGGCCATTCAGTTTGAGCTTTCCGCCCTGAAATTGAGACCGGGGCTTGGTGGGGACTTATCGGGAACCGTCACCAGATCTGTTGGCTTTTTTCTCCCCCGATTTTCTCCGGTGTGCGTGGCTTATTCGAGCACCGAGATTGAAGCGGAACAGAAGATACTGTCTCCTACAATGAGGGGGAGAAGAGGAAGGCCGCCCAAACAAGCAGCCGTGATGCGGGAAGGTTCACCCGGGCCAGTCCGCGGCTCTCGGGGCAGCAGGAGTAGAGGGATGCGTGGACGGGGAAGAGGCAGAGGACGGGGTCGGGGGCAGGGAGGAAGTGGCGGCGTTTGCGGCACTGGCTCTGCGGAGGTGGATACAGAAATCTCCGGCCGGGAGAACTTTCATTCGTCCCGGGGCCGCAGGAAAGTTGGAGCCTCCACCACGGCGACGGCCGCGGGATCGCGGGGCAGAGGAGGCAGAGGGAGAGGCAGGGGGTCGAGAGGCAGCCGCGGCGGTAGAGGCGGAGTGAGGCGGCCTCAAACCAAGGTGGTCTACGACGACAACAGCGACGAGGAGGATGATAATTTAAGCTACAGGTCAGACGAAGATGAACTCCTAAACGACAACCCTTCGTCGGATCTTGAAGAAGAAGAGGCCTTGGGAAACGACTCTGACTATCTGGAGGAACTACCAGAGGATGATGATGCCAGCTACTGTACCGAGAGTAGTTTTCGGAGCCACAGCACGCTCGGTAGCACTCCAGGTACGATCGCTTGCAAGTGCACGCACTTTGAACAAAGCAGGTTTGCATTACTTAAAGTGTGCATTTTATTTTTAGCTCAGTACAGAAACCAAGCCGCATTGTTCAAAATGGAGCTCTGCACTGAGAAACAGGCCTTTGTTTACCGTGTGCACTGCTCGCCGCTGGCTTGCAGATCTGCTCCACGCTTCAACCGGCTCTCATGTTTTTGACTTCTGTCAGATCAGCACATTTTTTCTGTTTTGTTGTCAATTTATTATGAAGAATGTGTCGGCTTTCTTTTTTGTCGTACTTTTTCACGGCGCGCTGCACATAACGTGTTTTCATACTCACGGAGGAGGAACAGGGTGTATTGACTGCGTTTGCCACTTTACATGCACTTCATTCATTCAGTATTTCTACTAATGTAAAAGCATAGTATGTGCATTTACTACCATGTGAACTGCGCTCCATCAAAACACACAGTTTGTAAACAGTGTTTCCCATTGAGCCTGGATTAACAGTTCATATTATACTTTTTCTAAAGCCGTAGTACTTAAATGAAGGTGTTACCCGTAAAATAAATAATAATTGTACATTTTAGACACAATCACTAGACCTGTTTCCCTCGTCCAAATCGACTTCATATCGTTCCTCACCATTTCATAAGACACATTTTAGTTGCATAATGCTGCTTAATGAGTTTGACAGGCCTTTGTTTTGAAGAGAGGCGCTCTTTTTTTTTCACTTGTTGCAAACACCAGCTCATTACAATATTACGTGGTCCGCCGTTGCCATAGTAACCACTCTTATGTTTATCAGGTGAGCAAATTCGATCCATCACGTCCCCACTTGTGGACAGTGATGTTAATGAAGTTGTGTCTCTGCAAAAATCAATTGACACATCTGTTATGTAAGTTAAAGTATTGCACTGGGCGCATTGTGCCAGCCACTGGAGGTAATTCTAGATAGGATTGGACAAATAGTTGTAAGCGTGATCCAGAGATGGGTGATCTGTGCATTTCAGGATCTCCTCAACAGAAAAGGTCACTCTTTTGCTACCTCTGTGACATCAGGCTTTTGTCTTACATACATTACATACACTATACATTTTTCTTTAAAACAAAAATGTTCTTTTGGCAAGAAACATTTGAACGTAGATTGTCTTTCTTGAGTTGCTCGCCCTATCACTTCACTACACTCTGGTCATGCTATGCAGTTTTAAGTGGTTCAAGCATCGCCTATCAACTTTCAAAGACATGTGAACATGGCAGCACTGTGCAGCCGAGTGTGAGGGGTCTTTTATAACACCAATGGTGGCAGACGGACATTATGGTGCTTTTGCTGTCACGGACATACCGGCACACATACATGCTGTTTTAAAACACACTGCACACCCCGCACACATAACACGTTTACACACAATCCCTGTGTAATAATCAACCTGCGGCGGTCAACCCCGTAATCCCTAGATGTCACTATTTGTGTAGTCCTCTCATCGTTTCTCTGTTTACATCAATGCTAAACCACAGAATTATATTAGACCTAATACACATATATTTGCTAAATAGTTATGGACTTCCAGTTTATCAGTGGTTTCTGCAGAGCTTACACACATGGTTTGTGATACAACATGGCAGAGAGTGTGGGTAAAGTGGTGTAGTAACAGTATACTTATCCTACAGTGATTATAAACATATTTCTACAAGCAGTTAAGCATTTAACCTGGTCGAGTGCAGGGTCATGATGCCAGCCAGGTTGAATGACCTGTACTGAACCATTCAGATCAACCACAAACGTGGGCTTATTCCACATTACAGTGTTCAGGAACGCATATTGTACACAGACACACATAATGGAGAGGGAATATACAGCCACAGTACGTATGCTGCACCATCTGCATGTATTACACAGTAGAAAAAAAGACAGGCACTTTCTTGTCCCAAGACAATACATTTAATGTTCTCACTTGATTTATAAGCATTTTATGATGCGACTTCTCTAGTGTCACACTCTATTAAGAATAACCACATTCCCATTAGCACTTGCTTGTGATTCCCCAAAATTACATCTTCCCCTCGTCCTATGTATTATTTGGTGTATATATAGGCTGTTGGGTCATTTAAATTGCATTGGTAATTGTTCTTGTATCTTTTTTTATTAGAACATAATTTGGAGCTTTGGGGATCCTCAAATGTCACTGTTACAGCAGACAATGTACTAGTGCACAATCAGAGAGTACAGTCCAATGAGGCATCAAGGATGCTAATAAGTTCTGCCATCATATTGCATTGACTAATGTTGAATATAAAGTATATACCAGTAACTCTCTTTGTTGTGATATACAGTGCATCTGATCAAAGTGCACACTCACCGCACTTAAACCTTCTGTGTTGACTCAAAGCAACAATGGTCCTTTTATTCTGCAGAGACATCCGTTTTATCTTCAAATATCAGCATTTCAGATACTATTATAAAGACTGGACG